AAAATCCATGAGGTTACAGGAGCTGCAGCTTCTGCTTTGGTGTGAGCACCAGGCTCATGCTTACAAAGGGCTACTGTGTCTGAACTCCAGGCAGAGCACATTTTCCCCCGTTCCAGCTGTCAAACAATCCTCTAGGTGGGAACTGTAATTATCCTCATTTTACAAGAAGGGAACCCAGGCACAGGGACCTGAAAACACTCAGCTAAGAAGTGAAAGACCGTGCTCAGGCTGACAGGAGGCCCATGCTCTTAGCAGTTACACCACATTGAGGTTCTCTCCGTTATACTCAGTCACAAGGTGATATTGTGATGCTTAAATCTGTAGCTAGAGGGTCACCTCAGGGCAGGCAACACATGCTTCTCCACCTGAGAGCAAACTCATGCTTTTTCAGTGCATTACAAAACGTGATAATGCAACATTATAGATGAAAATGACAATGATCCATATTTCCTGAAATTTCTATTTGGAAATTTGGAAAAATAATTTTGCATTAATGTAAGCTTTGCATTTAAGAGAATTTAACTTTGATGTGCAACAAATTATATTAAGACATTAAATCTGTAAGTCATTGTTAAAAAATAGCTTATTTTAAGAAAAGAAAACTTTCCAGTCTTTGATATATGTTCCTAAAAATATGAAAATAAAAATCCTTTCCACAACTGTCCTCTTCCATTTCACACATATTGATCTTTCCATATGTCTTAAATAATCATGAAATTAATAGGAACTGTTTTTAATAAATCCAAATCATACCTCCTTTCGTGTCAAAATATTTTGGGGACAACTGAGGTGAAAAAGCTGCTTACACATTAGGAAAAACTAAGAACAACCCAGAACAGCTTTAGAAGAGAAAGAGAAAGAGAGTTGAGAAGGTTTCTAGGGAAGGCGTCTGCAGGGGGAGTGCAATGAAGAGAGGGCTCCATGGCAGGACTGAGGCCAGAGCCCAGGTGAGCCAAAGTCACAGGAGGCAGAAAGGGAAGGACTGTTTGCAAACAAGTGAGCTGAGAACCAAAGGAAGAGACTTACCCAGGGAGCGAGCTAGGTCTGCATGCGAGTTCTGACAGCCTTGTGGGTGTGTAGCACCAGGGAAAAGGTCTGCATATTTTTTGAAAATGGGAGATGATACTTATCTAACTGAGCTATAGAGAAGAATCAATGGACAACAGCACACAGTGCCCTGTACAGTTTGGCACTGAAGATGCTGGGGAAAGGGACCGCTCCACCTGCCCCTGCTCTCTAGGCACAGAGCAGCTGAGCGGACGAGGCCAACAGGAAGACCCTTGTGGGCAGACAGGCAGGGCAGTCCTGTAAGTCACCCAGAATCTGCTTCACAGCTCATAGATATTTTGAAAGTGTTTATGATCCTATTTTATAAACCAGTAATGGTAAATTTTTAAATAATCCATTAAGGGGGAAAAAAGCCACTTCAAAGCATGTTTTCCTTCATACTAATAAACCACAAACCCATAATACATTTATATTGTGAGAAATACCACTTGATAAGGTCATTATGTTACTTATTAAATGATTAAGTTGTTAGGAGAGCTAAAACTGGTAAAAATTACACAAAAAACAGTTGTTTGGGAATGTTCCACAATTTGAAGATTGGATATTGTTACAGGTGTTATTTTGGGAGTGGAAATGATTAACTTTGTTACATAATGAATTTGCTATTATATGAGATGAAGCCATGACTTTATGGGATTGAGTCACAGAACAACCTGTGAGACATCTACTTTTAAACTTAAAAGTCTTCAATTACTACAAGCACTACTAGGTTGGAGGGATTGTTAACATCATAGAGCTTATTTATTATTCAACACGTTATGGGTCACTACTGACACCATTTCAACTCTCTCAGATCTAGGAAATTTTGAAAGACCACCAGGCCACTCATGCCATAAAGTCCAAGAGTCCTGGGTCCTGCGGCCCTTTTAAATCACAGGGCTGTCAGGCAGTCAAGTGTGCCACCCAGAGGCAACAGGAGGAAACAACCTTGGATTTTATTTGTAAGACAACACTGGTTAAATGTTGGTTTTTAAAATATTATCTGTTGTTATTTCTCTTATTTGAAAAATACACGAAGCTCTTTATATGATTCTCTCTGCAAAAGGAAATTTGTTTAGTGCCAGGATACATGTAAGCGTGGCTCTTTTGAGAACTCTCACAAAATGGAAACAAGCCCTGCGAAGGCACCAGCTACAGGTGTAGTTTGTCTATTAAAAAATTGAATTTAACTGTATTCTCTACAGTAAATGCTTTCTTTTCTTTTTATAATGAATATAGCATGTGTTTCCAGAAGTACATATAAGTTCTAAAACAACCGCCAGGATCTACTTAGACATGTAGACCAAAGTTAAACTAATTAACTAGACATTTCTTAAATGAGAAAAGTTTCTTTCATTAGAAGATCTTCCATGAAATTTTCTTCTGGCAAAAGAATAAAGTTTATTTAGAGTAATTCTGCTTGGCAGACAGTCAGCTTTTAAAATATATACCAATAATTGTTAAAATTAAAGGAGTCGATTCTATTAAGCCCACATAAAATATAGGCTTCCAGTGGCCTAAACAATAGATTGATTAGGCCATAAACAAAGATTTATGATAGCCCCATTTTGTCTCAAGAGTCTGGAATCTGGGATTACTGTGAACACTGGGTTGTCTTTCAAGATTTACATATTTTACAACAAACTACAAAAGATCACTAAGTCTTCACTTAACTGAAAACATGACACTTGTTAAATGTGAAAAAGATTTTAAGTATAGTTTGACAATTCCTTTTTCTAATCACAAATTTTTTAAAAATAATCCATAAAATCAGTTTTGGGTTCTTAAATACTATAATACACTCATTTCAACTCATTTTACTGTTTCATTTTCATACCCGCTTACCTCAAATAGAAAGATATTTCTATCATACATATTTATGTAACTTTCTAGAAAACTCACTCTAAGAAATATTATTAAAATTTGCTTTTACTAATGAGAAGATCCTATAGTTGATTATTATTTTCAATTTCCCCCCTGCAAAACCTTAGCAAACACTGCTTTAAAGTGGAGCACTAAGTAAACCTTTCCCCTGGGTAAGTGCATCATTATCTGTGAAGTTCACTCTTTCCTATTTATGCTACTTAATCTTCTGCACACCTGAGTTACATCATCCTGGAAGAGATGCTTTCATCTGTAGGGATGGTTGTACAATAGTTCAGCAGGGAGTAGGAATAATTCTGCCTCATGTCCCTAATTCTATGATCGCTGAGGAAGTCAATGAGGTTCTAGAGCTATATCCAGTCACTGGACAGTGTTCTCTATGCACTGCTAAATTCAGGGTGAGCACAGCAGAGCCGACTCCCTGAGACAGCATGACTAGGACTCAGATAAAAGCTGAAAGATTAAAACTCAAAGGATGTATCAGGGAACATACCAAAAAACTTTCACATAGAGCCCAAGGGGAAGGGAAGATTTAAGTACATTCAGAAGAAACTAAAAAGCTAATTAGAAAAATGAGCTCTTACATGCATTCTAGGGGCATTAAAATATCTGTCTGCATTCTACATCCAAAGGAAGAAATACAGAAAAACAGCTAATAATCAGTTAATAAATGATTCAAGTTCATTGATAAGTACAGGCAATTTAATTGGTAAATCCTGAAACTGTCCCATTACCTCCAGTAAAGAAGGTCTATTGATAAAATGAAATGGCCTAAAATTTATTATATCTTTTCTCTTCCCATCTCCAATGCTACCACCTTAGTTCTTACCATTTTAAAAATCTATATTAGATTAACCACCTCCTAATTAATCTGTCTCCAGGCCCAAATCCCTGCTGTATCCACTTCCACCATGAGTTTCAAATCCAACCTCTCCATGAGTCCAGAATGATCTCTGTGAAACCAAACATATCATTGCCTGTTTGATGTCCCATGCTGAGTCAGCAGTCCCTGTCTGTATCCCTCCCCTCACACATGCCAGGGGACAACCCAAGGGAGTAAAACCAGGGGCTGCCACATCCTACCCCCAAATCAGGCATGGACAGGCCATAGGCTTCCTGAAACAGCTAGTGATGTGGTGCCACAAAATCATAAACTGTTAACATTACTACATGATTTTTAGTGATGCTTTTCATGATTCAATCGTACAATTCCAGCATGGACTAGGTAGGCAACGACTGTGCCTCCTGTCCTCAAACACAGTCACTGGAATCAAAACTCATGTGAAGCAGAGGTTACATGCACTTGTGAGATCTGACAAGTAAAACACAGTGATTATCTGTGACAGTATTTCAACTTACCTACACATGCATGCCTGTGAAGACAGGCATTTATTGTTATGAAGCAGACATGCAAGCTTTCTTATTTAATTATTAAAACTGAGGTTGGGTTATTTCGTAAAATAATTTTTAAAATATAAAGGAAGTTTTGTTACTAATATGCATCACCTATACTGCATGTTTTATATGTAGCCCAAGACAATTTCTCTCCACTCAAGCCCAGGTAAACCAAAAGGTTGGATGCCTACAGTCTACAAAGAGGGGGCCATGGTAGAAGGCCTTGATCCTCTCTCGTCCTACTTAACCAAAACTTAACTTCAATTTCTTTGGAAGATATTAAAATAATCCCTCATCAAGAAATGTCAAGAGCATCATTTTATTTGTAAATTCACAGCTACTAAAACAATTTCCATTTTTAAATGTCCAGAAACATATTCTTCAAACAATAACAAAGAGTGGTTGACATAATGTCTTGAAGTTGGCAATATCACTTAGGCAGCATAATAATTTCAAATTTAGTTGGCACAATGTGAAGTCAGTGCGAGGAAAAAGTAGAGATGTAGTAAGACCTGATTTGCAGTTCTGAAAGGGCACTGTGGTTGCTGTATGTAAAAGAGCTGAAACTACTGAGACATGAAACATTTCTGAATATTTTCCCAAACCGTGACACCTGCAGAGTGGGGTGTGCAGTTTCTTACCAGCAGGCATTACAATAAGGAGTCATGGAGTACCTGGTCCTCACTGGTTAAGCCCAGGTGCATCGCGAGGTAGAAGTGCACCAGGAAGTCGGAATTTGGCAGGACATCCTGGCGTCTGGTCATCATGGCGCAGATCAGCCTGTAGGCTTGCAGTTTGCCTTCCTTATACTTATTTGGCAGTGTTGTCGCCTGCCGAGGAGATGATGTTTCCAAATTAAATCAAGTCCAGATGCAGAGCATTTTGACATTTCATTTATTTCTCAGCTTTCCAGAAGAGTTGTTTATGAAGATGTGGCATACAGTGGCTATACTATGACCAGCCTGTCTTCACAACATGCAGTTTTGGGCAATTACCTTTTTAAAACTCAATTTCATAAAGGAAGAGGAAATTGCAATAAAGGAATAAACACATATCCACTTGCCTTAAATAACCATGATGCAAACATTCTGAGTGGTGGGATCAAAATAGGAGGAGACGGAGAGGACTGGTTATCCAGGCTTACAGCTAGATTATCCCGGATCTAAGTCACAGAGAGCAGAACTTCAGGGAAGGGGACATTCCGCTTATCTCAAGGGTATTTCAATATTATCTTCCACAGCCAATTAAGTTTCTACAACTTGAGTGAAAAATCTATAATATTTACACAAGCTTTTCTTTTATTGTGAGTTCACCTGTCCTTCTGAATTCTGTCTGGCTTCCTGTATGGATTTATATTTAAATGTAAACCTAGGCCATTATTTTTCCTTGAATATTACTGCCTAGAGGCACTAGGTCCTAAACCCCAAATGAGAAGGAATGATTTAATAAGTTATACTGTGCAAATATGAATCACGTTTCTGAAAAGATTTTAAAACACAGGGAATGTGCTTGCTTCGGTAGCACATATATTAAAACATAGGGAAAATGTATGTTTAGTACAAAAACCAAAACCAAAATGAAATTTCATCTATTCCATGATTCTACCTTTGTAAAAATATCTTTATCCACAAAAATAGTATTAAATATTAGTTATTTTTATGGGATGGTGACGTAAATTTTTTCTTTGTATTTTGCAAACTTTGTACAATAAAACATGTATCACTTTTAAAATTTTTTCAGTATGTTTGTGGTACATACTTATTACCAGTATTACCTTAATTGAGAATAACTTAAAACTACTTAATACCTTATTTTAGTATCCTATACTAATATACTACTTTTATACAAAATGAAATATTAAAATATTCAAACTATAAATATCATGATTTGCTCTTTGATAAACAAATGTACTTTGTCTAAATGCCTGATCTGTTCTCTAGAATATGTTCCATAGTTAATTGCAACCCAGTTTTTACATGAAATGATGGATAAATAAAAGGAAATACCTTGGCTAGTTTGTACCAGAGCTCATAGAGATACCCAAACACTTTGGCATGGATCTTGGGCGACTGGATGTTATTCACATCTCCAAGGATCCCCAAGATTCTTCTCCATAACACAGCAGCAGAATCTGGGTGCCAGCCGGTGAGGTTCCCTCCGGCAATGATACTACAGTCATCCACCAGGCACTCACTGTTGTCTGAGGAGAGAGAAATGTGTGTTAAGCCTGGAAATACAATCTTGATTTCCTTCCCACAGCTTTTGTCTTTAATAAAATTTAATCATGCTCAACACGTATGTCTTTAGTTGTTAAGATTTAAAAATGTGAAATGGCTAGGGGTACCAGAAGGATTGAAAAGCAGGTGGATGAAGAAAGCTCAAATTATTTTGATTCTTCAAATTCAAAGAGCAATAATCTAGGGCTTAAGTGATGGTGTCCATAAAGGGTATGTCAAGCTGTGGAGTGGATGAGACCCTGAGCAGTATGATGCATGCAATCAGTGGCCAGGGACATTTGTACGCTGATTTCTACAGCTGTTAGCACAGACTTATGCCTCTGTTCCGAAGTGTTTCACCTAACTCCAGGTATCCCATTCCCCAGGTATGGTTTCCTCATCTTATATCCCTGTGCACACAGAGGGGCATCTGTCTGTCCTCACTCCCTTCTCAATCTCAGCCAGGCCAACAATAGGCAGATCTAAATGCTAGCCATATCCTCACACCTCCACATGCCATCTTTGGCCTGGATATGTTATCTCCATTCCAGATCCTTTCCCCAAAGACCTCTATGGCTCTATTTGCTCAAGACTGAATGGGAGCTTCATCCACAGTAGGCCTGGCTCTGGTGAGATCCACTATGTTCTTGTAGAACCTACAGATAATTACTTTGGGCCAATTTTCTGGAACTCAAATTCTAGGGAAAAGACCCCTTCCTGTTCAGAATATGTACCTCTTCTCCTTCCCTTGATTTCAAGGCAACGTCTCTGTACTTAGCTGTGCATTGGGGACTCTGGACCAGCTACCCCACACTGACTTTCTCCGACTTCTGGAGCGAGGGCAGCAGCTAGGGTGGTAGAGCTCTTGCTCAGTTTCTAGCTTTCTGTTTCCTTGGTCAAACTTGCTTGGCTATTTTTATTAGACCATTGTTTGGTTTTCTTCTATTTTTGCTTATTTACTTTCTAGTATATTTGTGTATCCTCTTAGTTTTACTAGTCTCTTTAAAATTAACTTCCATGTTATTCTTTCCCCTAATTTTTTTAATAGAGCACATAGGTCAAAATTTTTCTCTTCTAATATATGCATCTCGGGTCATATTTTTCCCACAAAACATTTATTTTCCTTTTGCTATATTTTGTCATTCTTCTTAGTTCATTTCATCAAATTCACTGAATGTTTGTAGTTATAAATCATGGACATTCGTTGAAACAGATGATCAAACTGGTCAATTTTCAAAAATAGTCTATGTGCGGGCTGGGCATGGTGGTGCACGCCTGTAATCCCAGCACTTGGGAGGCAGAGGCAGGAGGATCACCACAAGTTTGAGGCCAGCCTGGGCAACAAAGTGAGTTCAGGGCCAGCCTGAACACAAAGCAAGACCTTGTCTCAAAAAAAAAAAAAAAGTCTGTGTGCTTTTAAAATCATATATATTTTTTAGTTGCTAAGTTCAAAGATCTATCTATCTATCTATCTTGGATATCTCCACTCAGCGGAGATTAATTGTATTGTGTAAGGTTTCTCTAATCCTACTCACATCTATTTCTGCTTAAATCATTAAATAATGACACTTGATATGAAAATCTCCTATGATGATGGTTCTCTATCAATAATGCCTTACAGGGCCGGGGATTTAGCTCAGTGGTTTCGCTACCTGCCTTGAAAGCGCAAGGTCCTGAGTTCAATCCCCAGTATCCAAAAAAAAAACCAAAAAAGGCCTTACAATTCTGTCAAATTTTGCTTCAGTATCTGCAGGCTATGAAGTTCACAGGAATTCAGAGTAACTACTATTGCTAACAATTCCTGTTTTAAAGTTTATACGAGTAGCTGACACAGCTACAGCTAAACTAAGCCAGGGGTCTTTTTTCCTTTTTTTTTTTTGAAGTTTATGTTTATTGTATTTGCTTTAGGCTTTATGTTTAAATCAGCTTTGCTTTGCTTTGGAGCCTTTGAAGGGAATTTAGTGAATTATGTCCCACTTCTATCAGTACCCCTCTCTCTGTTGTCTCACACTACTTGGTTGCTACTAACATAATTATTCTCAATTTATTCTATCCCTCATCCCACATCTCCACAAGTAAGGATGACTGATTTCCAGTTATTCACCAATCCCCACTAAGTACCATCTTGATTGCATCTGTCGTTGGTATTTTTAGGGCCTCATCAAAGACAATCCAGCAAGTCTCTGGGTCTGAGGAACCCAAGGAGAGGGAGGACAAGAGCAACTGGGAGCCAGAGGAATGGCTGCCTGGAGCACATTGTGTCAGCAATGGAAAGATGCTAGGATGCAGGGACACAGGATTTAGTGAGGATAGCACAGAGTGTTACAGGAGGGCGTTCCAGGGAGGCTGTTCCTTCTAAGAAGAAAACACACCAAAGCTCCCGCTACTGCATCCCCAGAAGAGGGACACATGCAAACTGGGAGCCCAGCAGGCTTCCATGCCTGAAGGGCCAGTGGTGCAGAGGGCAGGAGACTACTGGGGCCTTCTGCATTCTTTGACCGACTCCTAAAGCCTCAGCCTCCTCCCTGAAAGTTTCTTCTGCACATTAAGTGCAGCTCCCCCAAACATCTGTCCAGGAGGTGTTGGAGCTTTGAGGAATGCTTATGAGCAAAGATGAGCCTCCAAGTGGAAAAGGAGCACAATATGGTATTCATTCTTCCCATAAAGAATGCCACACTGTCTTTAATCTCTTAGAAGGGAAAAATGGAAAGGAGAGTAGGTGACTTAGGGTTCTGTTTCATCGCCTACCCCAACCTGGACAAAGCAGCCATCCAGGATTGACAGTCACCCAGCATTTCACTCACACCACAGCTCTGCTGGAGTAACAGCTCTCCACAAGTGTGGGCCAGGTATCTCATGGCCATATTTGTCTACTACCTGCAACTAACAGATCCCACATAGAAAGAAATTGGTTTCAATACGACTATGCATTCAAAAAAATTCTTGCTTCAATAATAAAAATCCTAGGCAACATGATGATTATCAAAATATTCTCAGTTCTTTAGAAGTTCCTGAAATGACTGTATGCGCTTCTTCAACATTATTGTGAAAAAGATTTTAATGAGTTGAAATGTTTTTGCCCGAAAGCACTCTGATGGTGGCAGAAGTAACAGAACAGCTGCTGACATTTTACATGTAGATGGCTCCTCAGTGACAGAGCACTTAATTAAAAGTGGAGATCTGAGAGATTCAGAAAATTTCATGATTGCCACTAAAATACCAAAATTTAATTTTTTTTTCATAAGCAAGCTAGAGTGCTAGGCTAGTATCTCTTGGTTCATTATAACATGTTATGGAGGCATTTATGTTTTTTTTAATATTTAAAGTAGGAACGCTTATAAACCAAATCATCATCTTTCGCCAAACACACATTTAACAACAGGAATAGAAAGTTTAGGAATGTCCAAATACAGAAAAGATTTTAGCTACGAATTAAGTCTTGGTCACTGGAAAAATAGGTGCTTATGATCAAGTGGTGATTTCCTATGGCTACAACAGTATGTAAGCTTGGAGTGTTGAAGAAATGTAACCTGTGTTTTTGACAATGAATTTCTCTTTTGACTTGAAAAGTACACAAAAGTCAAACTCAGGGGCTCTACCTGAACCCCTTTCTTCCAGGGCCAGAAGAACCAGGGCTGGACTTCTGCTGGTCATCACTACAGTCTGATCTCCACAGCCTCATCCCTGTCACTTTGAAGAATTTAAGAAAGTGAGTTAACAAAGCCATTACAGCCAGTACTGTTATTTTCCTTTATATAAAACCTGGTAAAAATACCATCAGTGTGTGATGATGTTGCTGATAAATTGTTTCTACAGAAACAATTCTAGTGGCAGCTAAGAGAATGTAACTCAGATGCACAACTAAAGCTATAAGCAGAGGTAAGAGGATTTCTATAAACAATGTGTGGGTACAAGGGTGTGATAAATACACTAAATGAAAGATTTTCAAACAGCCTTACATATTTATTCACCTTAAAGATTAAACTGTAATTGTAACCTGCAGCTCAATGCCTATTTGCTCATGGATCCAAGTTATTCATGGAATGGTTCTCTCCTACAAGGTGCTTTGCTAGGAGCCATGATCCATCTGTGAGCACACTGATAGCCTCCTCCTCTGAGTGCATTTCCCGGGGTGGGGGGTGGGGGGCTGGGCTTCCCAAGGACACCAGGATGCATAGTAACATCCCTTACCAACCTTGCCTTAAAACTCATCACTGAGCTGATTAGAACCTGCAGAACCAAGAGCACCAAAGCTGGTTTTTCCCCGCTGGGGTTTTACTAAGCCATGGAATTCTTAGAGTTTCTTGGATTTTGCTGAGGTTGAATTATTGACACTTTCTTTGTGGTTGGTTTTGTTTGGTTATTGTTTTCTTCTCAAGAAAATACCACCTACCCCCAAGATCATAGACTTTTTAAAGAAGATATCTTCTTCCAACGTTTTTAAACGTTTCTTTTCATATTTAACAATTTTATTCCACTAGAATTGACTGAATGTGTGAGGTAGGGATTCTATTTAGTTTCCTCCATATGGCTAAACACTAGTTCCACAGGGATTTGTTAAATAGAACATTCTTTCCTTGCCAGATCTGGAAAGCCATTTCTATCATATCCACACCTGTGGTCACATTGTGTGTGACCATTAAGATAAATGTCTTGTCTTCTGTTCTCCTTGTAATCTCTTAAGACAATAGTGGCTATGACCTATACTCATCTTTTACTTCAAATAGCCTTTAAATCAGTATTTCTGGATCATAAGGTTAGCTTATTTGCTAAATATGGGATGAGGTCAGTGGTAATACTGATTCATTGCTGTAGGTCATAAATATTCCTCACTCCCAAATCACTACCTCAACAGAACTTAGTTCATGTATGCATGATCTATGTTTCCTTATCTGCAGTACTCTTAATGGTCTAGCATTGAGCTGATTGGGGATGAACTACCCTTTTTAGGGCTAGCAAATTCTTAAGGATAGCAACACCTTCCAGGAAGCGTGATTTTTATATGTAAACTAGCTAGTCATCCCACACACCCACCACCTATGTCCTTTATCTAGCTCTAATATACATCAAGTCAACATAGTCCCACATTATCACCCCAGACCCAGGTACAGGAGAACTAGGGACACCCAGCCCCTGTGCTGAAGCCCACTGAAATTACCTCCACCAACAACCCTAAATGGGCTGATCCTACCTTGCCTCGCTCTTCCTGCGACAATAAAGCTTGTTGGCCACATTTTGTTCCCTCTGCCTAGTGTTGGACATAGGTGATTCCCCATGTGTCCTGCTTCCAGAGACCTGTGAGTCTAAACTTTCTTCTTCATGACTTTCATTTTGTGTCTGAAATCCTTAACATATCTGATTAAAACAAATCCCAGCAGCATTTAAAACAATGCACAATAAACTTAACTATTATTTTCAGCAAACATGACATGATTTAAATAAGCAAACTAATATAAAAGTAGACTGTTAGCTAGCTAGCAATGAAGAAAATAAAGATTTTAGAAAGTTTATTATTCTAAACATTTGATAATTGGTAGGATTATTCAATGAGAAATGGTGATATATTCTAATTGATCACTCTTTGTACATCCTAAAGATCAGGCTGACAGGAGTTTTATTTTATTCAGTTACGAAGAAATCATTCCCTTAAGAACAGAAAGTTAAATTCAGAACTGTGATAATCCTTAAACCTTATCATATTACAGTTTGTCCTTTTCACAGATGACAAGCTGAACTATTGAACTGAGTGTACTGATTTGCTACGTTAGTATTTCAAAGAAGAACTAAGTATTTGGAGGACTTAATCACAACATTGAGTACACCATACTGAGTTACTCACACAAGTGTATTAAACTGAGCTGTCCAATGCATTCTCTCTCTCTGAAATGGAGTCAAACATAATCTCCTCCAAAGACAGACAAAAGAAGTAATCACCCAATTTTCTTTCCTTTCAATAAAAATAATTAAACCTAGTTCATGCTTAACTGCATCCAACTTGTTGAAGATTCAGTGTTGGATCACAATGATGCGTTTCTCTTGGGTAGTCTGTATACTGGACTTAAAGAAGCCGTTTATTCCACGAATGTATTATTAATTCTCAAGTAATTCAAAGGGCGGTACAGTTGTAATTTTAACCACAATGTAGTGGAAAGAATAGATGTAGCACTGCACTTGGAATCAAAACACCTTGGAAGCCAGTTCCAACTCTGGCACTTATTTTCTAGAGCAATGACATCATTTCTCTAGGTCTCTATATCCCCATTGCTAAAACAGAAACATTAAGACTTGGCCTTCCTACCACACAGAATCAAAGAGGGTACTTCAAAGTTCTTTGTAAATTGCTAAATCCCATATAAATTGATAGCAATACTAGTCAAAATCATTTTCTATAAAGAATTTTATCCAACATCATTGTATAGGTTAATTTTATGAAGCTTTAATGTCACACCATCAAGAATTTATAAAAATTTCGAAGATTTTGGTTAAATTTTACATCACAGTGAAAAACAAAGTTTGCTTGGTTTTAAAAAATCCATTTGAGGTAAAACTGCTACCTTTATTTATAATTTTAAACTGGTTTTTAGCATTTTAGTAACACTTTTTACTTATGTGCTTTCTGGTTTGTTGCTGCTTTCATACAAGATATCTGATGAGAGTGAAAGTGGCAGACCAGGCCCAGGTGGTCATAGCCCTCCCAGGCTGCCCCACCTGGGTTTTTCCACTTGTCACAACACAGAAAAATAAACCTAAGCTCCACTGTGCTGTCCTCATTCTCATCAGCCCTGTCCCACATGAGGGACCTGAGTGTGTGTGCATGAGTGTGTGTATACATGGGTTTGCCCACTGTCCTGTGCACCACACACACATGTCCACTCATCCACTCCTCCAAGGACCTTAGGAGATAAGTCCTGTTTTCACCAGTATAGACTAAGACAGTGAAGGACAGAGGTTGACCAGCTAAGGCCATTCAGCAGGCCCTTGCCAGAGCCTGAGTGAAGACTAAGAAAGTTTGCTGGGTCGTCCAAACATGAACCCTTTTTTTTTGGATACAGGGTCTTGCTATGTAGTTCAGGTTGTCCTTGAACTCATTATCTAGCCCAGGCTGGTCTCGAACTTGCAGTGATCCTCCTGCCTCAACCTCCCAAATGCTGGAATTACAGGCATGCACCACCATGCCTGGACAAGCATAAATCTTAACAAATACAATACTCAAGGGAAAAGGTACAAAAAGTATAGAGTATGATATATTTTTTTAAAGCAGCAAAACTAAATGATATGCTGTTTGAGGACAAAGACATATATGGAAAAGTCAGAGAAAAATCAAGGGCATTACTTTAAACACAAACATGGGGATGTGCCAAGGATGCTGGGGAAAGGAAGCTGCTTGAGAAGGCCTCAGGGAGCCTCACTGGACTGAGTACTGTCCTGCTTAAATCAGGGCATGGTCACTGTTACATTTTATTGCTGTGACCTATAACCTATATATATGCCACAATTTATTTTTATGTGCCCAACACTTTATAATAAAAAATTTAAAAATATTAATTAATAAGGTATCCAAACTCCTTGATGGATTCTGGATTTATGATGTGTGTATGACTAAGTTGGAAAAATCATTCGGTTTGCAGAGTAGAGCAAAAGGGACAGCAGATGCATGGCACAAATACATCACCCCTCCCTTGGTGGGCCGTGGTTACCAGCATGGCTGGCTGCCTTCTGTACTTGGCCCGTTTCAGAGCCCTATCCACACAGGACCTCAAGAACTCAAGACAGAGAGCAGGTGGTTGGCAGCAGCACCCATCAGCACTGTGCTAAGGGATCCCTAGAGTTCTCCGAGTCAGAACTCTGGGATCTCCCAGCTGCAAACACTGGTGCCTCTTTCCAAACACTCGGTACCTGTTAGGTTTGAGGTATCAGTGGGACTCAGCTGTAACCACTGCCGTGCATCAGAGTCAGCCACAGCATCTGTGGGTGTGCTCAGGTCGGGGTCCTCCTCACACGCCTGCCATGGGGTCACCAACAGCTCGGCTTCACTGTTATAGCCCAGAGCTGTGTCGCCGCTGGCACTTTCACCTGGCATAGGAGAAGGACCATAGTTTGACACCAGCCAGCTGGAGGCCAGTAGGTCAGTTACGGAGAGCAAGTAGCTGAACACCAACAGCTGGCACAGGAGGGGTGGCTGAGGGCTGAGGCAGAACCTGCAGAACCAGATAGGGTATAAGTGGCATCCTGGTGGGACTTGATCAAAAATTAGTCTTCCATGTACAGGACACTGAGGGCATGAGTGACTCCCCACTCCACACATTATTTGAGGGGGGTTCTATTCATAGTGTCTTCACTCAGTTACCTCCCACAACCCAAAGATTATAGCATGCCCCCAAGTTTTCTGCTGACACTGAGTCACTACAGAATGTAGGTGAGTGGAAAAATGCAGATAACCAGTTCCACCACAAGTGCCAATTTATTCTGTTGGCAAAAGAGTTGAAAGATGCCGCATGCTTCAAACCTGCTTAGTAGATGCACAGTAAACCCACAGCGAGTCATCTAAGGTCATTTGGGCAAGAGGTTTCCTGCTACAACAGATTTTCTATAATAGAAATTCTTTCCTTTAAACACTACAATGTTCTAATTTGTCCTAATATAACCACGCTGAGCTACTAAGACTTCTATGGATGTTTAGTCTGACACAAAACAAAGCTCCCATTCCTGGGAGTCCCCCATCCACTTCCTGACTATGTGTTACATGTCTGCCCACCTTCTGCCTGTTTCCTGAGCCTGCTGCCCACAGCCCCCAGCCCTGCTTTCTGATCTGCTGCCCTCCATTCACTCAGTAGGTCTCGAAATGCCCCTTCCACAGAGCTCTAAAGCACAGAGGGAAGGCAGAGCACAAGGGGGACCCTCTGCACCCCAGAAGCCTCCCGGATTTGCAGGAGCAACCAGGCTACCCTGAGAAGGAGGAAGCCTGCACCTGACTTCAGGAATATAGTAGATGGTATACGATAATCTGCTCCAGGATTCCAATGACATTTCATTTTAACAAATTTATCCCACCGACTTGAAGGCACTTCCTTAGCTTTGTGTTCCTGGCCTGTAGGAACTTTCTGGGGCAATAATTTTCTCTTCTGTGTCTGTCTGCTTAACCAGGCCCTAAGCCCCTCTGTGCCTCCAACCTAAAGAAAGGCCCAAGGGTAGAAAGACAGGCATCTCAGGTGCAGGCAACTGCCTAGAACAGTTATATTAACTGGATTAACTTTACATGAGCCTGGGTTCCAGGAAGAAAGACATTCTATTTCACAGCCATGTCTCTCTAACTGATATCACGCGAATTAGAAAGTAAAAAGGAAGCAAAACATATCAGGAACATAGAGTTGGATGATCACAAACCACATTTCCTGGAACTTACTCTTCTGTCTTTCCCTACATTTTCCTTGTGTCTGCTGCAAATCATCCTGCAGATCCAACTCAGCAGGGCTGCTACTTCTTCGAACTAAGATCTTCAGACAAAAAGAAATAATTGCATTTATTACAGGAAAGTTAACATTTTTAAAGACTGTAAAATTTCTAGCCCACGTTTCTAAATGAAAAGAAACAATAATAATGGGAACATAACATTTAATGATGTTTTCCATTTGAAGGATATGTGTTTACAAATTACTAAAATTGAATTATAAAATACTCAAGATCTGAAACTTTAATTTATATCCTCTACTTTGTCCACTGACATCCAACTAAATGGATCTTCTAGAAAGAATGCCAAATTATATGGTAGTAATTTATTTTAAAGTTCTGTTTGTTCCCCTGGTCAAGTAGACATGTGGTATGAACATAATTCTCCATCAGATCTAAGCTACCCCCAGAGCACATGGGCAGGGAAAGCGCAGGCCCCACCCAGGCTGCCCAAGGCCCACACAGTATCTTCCTGGTTAAATGTGCTACACATGGCTTAACACTTAACACTGCTTCACTTCTGCTAAACACCAAAGACCGAGAAATTGGGAGGCAATCTGCATCCTCTAAAACACCCTCAATTTGCTTGGAAAGACAAAATGTACACAAATTATATAAAATTACAATGTACATAAGCAAAATATGTGAATAAATTTTCTCTGAAAAGTATGCAAAAGAAAGCATTACCTTAATTAGTTGACAGTTACAGGAGAGCTGTTCAAGGAGGCAATAGACATGAAGTGGCAGAGGGAGAGCAGGAGGGGACTCAAGGCAGGAAGCAGAGTGGCAATCAGCAAGTTCTACGTGCAGGAAAAGCAGCAGATTGCAGCAGGCCATGCAGGGCAGCCAGGTTCAGAAGCAAAAAGACAAGAAGGAACTCGGACCTTCCAAAAGAGGCAACTGCTGGTAGACCTTCGACATGAGATTTAGGACTTTTGACCTAATATTGACAAATGAGCAGCTATGTGTTCCACACAACAGCTCAGTTAAAATCATAACTAGTAGGGCCAGGAATTTAGCTCAGTGGTTTCGCTGCTTGCTGTGCAAGCGCAAGGACCCGAGTTCGATCCCCGGTACCAAAAAAAAAAAAAAATCATAACTAGTAAAGGCTAGTCGTTACCTGTGGGACAGATGTGGGTAAAGAAGAAAATTGCTATGGAATCTCATGAGGATTCAGGAAAGAGGGAGGTAAGGCGTCTGATGGTGGAAAAGGTGAAGAGAAATAAGAGAAAAGCTGCAGAATGACAGGCTAGAGGTTATAATCAGGTGAACATGGAGTGAAAAAAATTAAATGACAGAAGAGCATAAATCCAGAGGACAAAGAGAATGACCATGACAAATAGGGAAAGGGAAAAAGAAGGAAGAAAGGGAGGAAGGAAAGAATGAAGAGAAGAACCTGAGAAGTTTCTGATATTTTAATTTTTATTTTAGACTGAATATCCAAAAAGAATGTGCTCTAAATGGGCAACAAATATCCAGGCCTGGTAAGGTAGAGAATAATGCCAGGAATGAAGATGCAAATTTAAGATCCTTCATTAGAGAGTACATTAAAGTCAAAAGCAAAACAAAACAAAACAAAAAAACAACCCTGTAATTCAATAAACCAATTAAAAGAATCAATATTGAACAAATGAAAAGGGAGGACCAAGATGTGTCATTAAAAGACAGAATAATTACTAAGCTAAAGAGAAGCAGGACACAAATAAATATTTAGGAGACTATATGAAACATTTTAACACACGCTTCAAGAAGGATGCAGAAATATTCCCAGGATATTTTCTCAACTGCAGAGTAGAATGTAGCTCTTTAGCTTCAGGTCACATGACACAAAACACTCCAACTATCAAACTAGATCCTACATAAAAATTTTGGTTGCATGTTAGGGCTCACTGGAAGTAAACCTTTGAAAGATCCATGAGCCCCCCCAAAAGTGGACAGAAAGTAGGGCAAGGAATTGGAGCTATCGTGGGGAAATCCTGAATGACCACTGCCAGTGGCAAAAGGCCAAAGACGCCAGGATTAAAACAGACCTCTCTGACTCACAGGAGACACAAATACATAAGCGGTCCTGGTAAATCTCCCCCAATTTAGACACTCAGGTTTTCTGCAGATTAAGCCAGCCAGCTAGGAATTCACAAACTCCAAAGAAGTAGGTCAGCAGGCTTAAGAGTCAGAAACAGCAAATACCAGATAGGGATCCCCAAAGGATTTCAGATAGGCAGATAAATAATTTAGAGATGCAAATTGAAACATTTTAAAGAAATACAAGATGAGACTCTAAAGAGAACACAAATTACAAAATATACTCAAAAATAATGAACTTTGAAGCAAAAAGGAAAGAGAAGAGAAAAATTTAAAAGTGGTGATTTTTGAAGAAATGTTGCCAAGGGTGTTTCCAAAGTGACAGAGACAAGCATCCACAGGCAGGTGACACACAGCATATACCAAAGAGGGCAAATGAATAAACCAAAAGGAACCTGCTGCTAAGTAAGTGCTGTACAAGGACAAAGAACAGCAAGAAACAACAACTAGAGAGAGAGGTGGATGGAGGCTTCTTGTCAACCTCTGTCAATGAAAGACAAAAAGCAGTAGGAAAAAAGGTTCCATCAGAAGGAAACAGGAAGAGAGAAAGAAGTGGGAGAACTGTAGTAATTAAGAGGCTAGGGACTGTTCAGAGAGATAAATGACCAATAAATCAAGGCAAGAAGTACCAAAATGAAGGCTTATACATCAGAGAATAGCACACATGAGAGAGAGAGAGATCAATAAATGAAAAACAATTTCAATAAATAAAACCTGGGAAAGCAGTTACCTATGGGAGGAAAATGAGATTGGACTCTTATCTCCCTCCACAAACAAAAATCAGTTTCAGGTAGATGAAAGACTTAAATATACAGAGCTAAATGGAAACACTTGTAGAATAAATTCAAGGTAATATTTTGAGCCCTGAGTAGTTGAAATTTTTAAAAATCCCATTAAGCCTCTAACCATAAAAATGCTAATAGAGAATATCAAAATGAAGAACTTCTGTTAATTAAAGACACCACAGAAAGAATGAAAATATAAGCTATGCACTGGAAGATATTTGCTACAAACATAACTAAGACAGAATCACCATTCCAACCACAAAGAACTAGAACAAATTAAAAAGAAAAAGACAGATCAGCAGGTAAACAACAAACAGCATCAGTAGGTATTCAACAGATGAAACACAAATAACCAGTCAACAAGGACAGATACTATGCCCACTTAGTAACCTGAGAAAAGCAAGCAAGAGATCATAATTTTCAGCTACTTGACCCATACAAATTAAAAATCTGACAACAGAAAGTGTTGGTAAGAATGTGGATGAATGGCAACTCTATAAATCACTGGCAGAAATGTAAGCAGCCCAACCATTTTGGAAAATAGGTATCATCTTGCAAGGAAGAACGTTCTTTTATTGTATGATTCACTAATCCCAATACTAGGCAGCCAACCTAGAAAAAACCTTAGACATGTAGATCTTGAGACACAAATTTGCCTATCAATAAAAGAATGGAAAGATAAATGGAACCCCCATATTCACAGTGGAGTATCACACATCAGAGAAAACATGATGAGTTACTGCTGCATGGCACAGTGGAACACCTCAAAAGTACTAGCATAGAACACTTTCCTAAAAAGTGCAAAAGAAGGCAGAAAAAGAACATTGTTTGGAGATGCAAAAATAATAAAATCTAGAGCAAAACAAGGGACTGGCACATATACAGCCAAGGTAATGCCACTCTCTGCGGGGAGGTGGCAGGGGAGAGGTCAAGGAAGGAACTTAGAGGCCAAAGAAACAACATCAGAAATATTCTGGCTCTTAAGCTGAGTGACAGGTTTGTGGGTATTTACTTTATTGTTGAAAAACAGAATATACATAGGGAAACTGGTATATGCTTTTATAAACATAAAGAAACAAAAAACTTAATGTTGGTTATCTTTCAAGGGAGACCTTCCCTTGTTATTCTGTATCCTTATTTGATATCTAAGTTTTCTATAAATACATAATACATTTTATACAAATGAAGAGGGGTTATCTGCATAAATGAATTATGGTAAGTTTTAATTTTCTTCTTTTCATTTGTTTTAAACAAACACTATTTTTAACAAAAATTAACTACAAGAGCTCTTTCTGAATGTTCACTCATCTAGTAACTCATATCTAGTGGAAGATACTACCTGAATCAATGTCAGAATGGGGAATCTGAAACACAAGTTTTACAGGCAAGGAAACTGGCTTGAACAAATATGCAGCACTACACAGACACCAAGTAGTGAATTCCACTTAATATTAATCTTTTATGTTTACAGCATGACTTTAGTTCTATATAGAAAGCAAACAAAACCTATGGGCCTATGATCCACCTAAATAGAGAAAGAAAATGTTTAAATATTGTTGCCACCAGTAAATTCATTTATTATGCAGTTATTTGGTTTTTTTAATGACAAATGGATAACGTTTAAAAATCTTACTGTTATTCCTTCATGTTCTCTCTTCACCTGGCCTGTATTCTCTTGACTAGGCTTGGGTTCTGAAGAAGTCAAATTTTGTGCAAACTCTACCTTTTGACCTAGGGATTTGAGGAAAAAAAAATTGACAGAAGGAATGCATCATAAGGTAAAAATAGGAAAACAAATATATATAAATATAGCAAGCACCCCACCACTGAGCTAAGTCCCTGCCCTAATAATAGTAATAATCTTATAAAAGAGTAGTAAGGGTAGAGTATCTTTCAGGTAATATATTTTCTCAGGTGATTCTTTTATTGTATTTTCTTATTTCAAGAAGATTTCTAAGAAAGAAAACTTCACTGCTCTATTAACGGACCAACATGACCTTGATACTAAGAAATATGAGATAACTTGCCAGTAAATAAGGTAGGCTTATTTCTCAATTAACTCCTGACCCTGAAATGGAATGGTAAGTACATGTGATAGTAGACACACTGTTAACACATGGTCTCACTGTAAAATACACTATTTGCTCACTATTTACCATCTGCCTCTTGGCTTTCCAAACTCTGTTGTTGCTGAAATTTGTTGCAGAAGCTGTAAATACTATTAAAAGTTGTGTTTGTTTTTGCCTGGTGCTGTGGTGCATGCCTGTAATCCCAGCTACATGGGTGGCTGAGGCAGGAGGATTGAAAGTTCCACGGCCAGCTTGGGCAACTTAGCGAGTCTCTGTCTTAAAACAGAAAATAAAAAAATAACAAGGCCTGGGGATGTAGCTCGGTGGTAAAGCTCTTGCTTAGCATGTGCAATGCCCTGAGTGCAAGGGTGTGCCCCCACCAAAAAATTATTTTCAACCTTAGCAGAGTCTGCAAGCTGTTAAAAACTTTTTTACAAGTCTGGTCAGCTTTCCATTCTCCTTTTCAACTTCTATGGTTCACCTCACAGCCTGTTCTTATTTCCCTCACACTGCTTCCTTACCTTCTACCTCATTTGCTGCTCCCTCTTACCTTTTTGGGAACATTGTCCGCCTTCCTCCTACTCCAGCCACCTGGCTCCTTTCTAGTCCTAAACCACCACAAACTTGAAGAAAAAAACCACATGTGCTCAAACACACACACACACACACACACACACACACACACATACAATTTAGATACTTACATTAAATACTGAAAACATTTCACTGATAGCAGTCACATCCTTGTAACCAAATTAAAAAATAATTCCCTTGAAATAAATCTGTATAGAATTAACGTAGAATGCAATCTCATCTGCAGCCCCCACCCCATAGCTTCGCCTTAGCAAGTGAAGACCCTGGTACCCTGAGATGCTTCTGGGATCCTCGGCTCGGGGATGTCAGAGGTGCTGCTGCTCTGGAGGACCTGCTGCTGCCCCATCGTGAGCTGGGTTGGTTCTGCTGCAGGTGTGTTCTCTGACTGTGGATTCTCCTCCACTTCTGTGAGCATGAACATAATACAAGGGGGACTACTCCAAGACTTTGAGAAACCTTCACCACTTTAAACAACTGATCAAAAATATTGTTTCAGATACTTTTTCACAAAACTTTTGCAATAATATAATGTTGATTTGCATAAATTTCCTACATTTGTTAATATTCCACTCCAAGAATACATTTTCCTCTTAAATTCTATTAAGACTTTATTTTTCCAAAATGAATGGGGAGGAAAGGGGAAGAAAGCCAAAATCAATCAATCAATCAATCAATGGTTGAGAGCTATAAGTCATTTGAAATTTTAGGCCAATGTAGGAAAGAAAGATACAACAATCCAGGAAATACAAAGAATGGCTAATTTATATGTGAGGAGAACACACACACATACAACATACACATACTATAAAAGAAGATGAGAGAAAATAGGAATTTCAACTGCATTGTTCCTTTTAACAGAGACAGGCACAACTGTCCAAAATAAACTGCCACTTAATGCCCTCTTTGATGGCTTGTATTACCAACTGAAATTTTGAACTAATCATTAAAGTACAGAATGACCCACTGGTATTTTTAGTGTATCAGTACAAACATGAAGTAAGACAGAGATGAGTTCAGACCACCAGATGATTTCAGTATCATTGGAAACTATGCTGCCCTGGAGAACGAGTTCCGTCCTAGGTCATTTCTAAAATGTACAGTTCAGTTCAATCTCTCAAAGCCTCCCAAGGCCTGGAATCATCACAACACCCTCTCTCCAGCGTCACAGCTGCTAGGTTGTGTCACCTCTTGTCCAGCTCATTTTCATGGCCTACTAAGTTGTCCCGGTCCCTCTCTTTTTGCTACTCTCATATCTATTTTTCATGTAGCCCCCAGATAGGTCCTTCTAAAACAAAGGTGTGCCACTGTTCTGGTAAGCCCTATGTGGCCTTTGTTGCCGGAGGGTCCCACCTGCACCCGTGGAGTAAATGAAGCCGCGTGGGCTCCCCGCACCCTGATGTGCCCACAGGGAGCTCCCAGGTGCTCTTGTCGCAGCAGTTCTGACCTGCCTGTGGCTGCTGCTCTCCTCCTTCTGCTGTCCTGTCCCTAGTGCTGGCCTTGGCCCTACCTCCTCATCTCTGCCCATGCTGTCAGAGAACATCCCCCATAAGCACAGGGCCCCATGTGTAAGCCTTGCCACTCTGCTCCTCCCTTGTGCCACACTCACAGATGTCGCCATAAATCTCTACACATATAATCATGATATCATGACCTCCAAAAATTGTAACCACAATGTTTCTTTTTTATGGTACTAGGGATTGAACCTAGGGCTTTCACCCTATATCCCTAGCCCTTTATTATTATTATTACCGTTAGCTTTTTTTTTTAAACTTTGAAACTAAAGTAAAAAGACTAAGTTGCCCAGGCTGAGCTTAAATTTGAGATCCTCCTGCCTCAGTCACCCAGAGGGGTGGGATTATATATGTAAAATTTACCCCCTCTAAGAAGAGACTGATTAGAATTTAGCCTGTATTCTCTTACTTGCTGTGGCACTCCACTTATCCCTAAAAGTGGAGACTTGCTGCCAACAGGGAGCCCCTTGATCTAAGCTGGGAGCCAAAGTCATGGGTCCCCCAAAATAGAAGCTATATGTAGGATTATTCTAAGTTTAACACACAGGATTTCTGCAAAGGGTTGCTGCCACGCCTTTTCTATCCAAATGAAAATTCCATTTTATAGTATACTGATTAGCAGACCTGAAAATTATATAATTTGTGTACGTTCTAGAGTGCAGTGTAAGTGTAGATGTGGATGGAAGTGAGCGTGGGTGGAGCAGGAAGAGACAGGCCAAGGCAGGAAGAAGGGATAGGCTCACCAAGCCCAATCCTTCCCAGTGGTCTGTGCACCCCTCTCTTGCACAGCCACAGAGAAATACAAGGTGTAGGTGTGCATGTTTCTCTACACACCCTAAGTACAGAGCATGCCCTTTCACCAGTCTCCTTCCACAGTGGGGCCACCCTCCCACCCCACCCCCTGGAAGTCTTCTTTCACTCCTTATTCTGGTTACATAGATGCTGCCACCTTCTGGAAAGAGATTATTTGTTAATGAACCTACTTGTTAATCCATTATCAGTAGAGGGAGCCCTACTCTAACCTTCTGAAAAATAGCTAGCCAGTGCCCATTGTTATGGGTAGTGGGAAGACTGGGCTTTAGTCTTTTGATGCCAAAACTGGTAGATGTTGGTTCCAGGCCCATAAGCAGAACAAATAAGAGCTGAGCCAACAACGGCTGCATCTGTCCACAGATAAAGAGCATCACCATCTGGTGGGATAGAGTACAGCCCCAGCACCTTGGCCTTGAGATCCATGTCCCCACTGGTCCTCAGCACAGCAGATGGGGAAGAGCCTGCCCCTACTCGCTGGCACCTCCCAACAGACAGGACTCACGCAGCTTTTAAGTCTTGTTTAGTAAGACTGTCAGGAGGGACTTCAGATGGACTAAAGCTCAGCCTTGAGATAACTGGAAGTGGCGGTGCCTGGGTGGGAGGGGGCACCCTAGTACTTGCTGGGTGTGCTGTTGTGTGGTTAGGGTCCTGAGCCAGAGATGGTGGGAAAGAGAATTTCCAGTTATCCTTAGCCCAAATTTAAACCCAACTTATTTTTTGTTTTTGGTTTTGGTTTTTTTTGGGTACCAGATATAGAACTCGGGACCTTGCGCTTGCGAGGCAGGCGGCAGAACCACTGAGCTAAATCCCCGGTCCTTTTAAACCCAATTTGTAAGTGTACATTTCTAGGCCCTTTTTTCATTCTTTGCACCAAGTATGTACTTCGTACTTGGATACATAAATAGACAAAAGCTACACACATTCTGACAAGGTTCCTCTGTGACAGTACTCTGGCTCCCTCTGCTGGCCCCTTATTTGCTAAGGAAGAGCAGCTGTGTGACCACCCTGTCCCCCAGCGTCAAGACACAAAATTCCCTGACAGTCACCACAGAAAAGAAGTGATCTAAGTTATAAAAAAACAGCAGGATGAACCTTAGACCTGACACATCGTCTGTTCTGAACACCACACAATTCCTGTTTCATCCACTTTAAAGAGCTGAATTCTAACTCAGTCACCAATTCATTACTGTCTCAAAAGCCTCACTCATCCAATAACCCCAAATTTAAAAGCACTTTCTCATTTCTTGATAGTATAAACTATACAATATTATTACTAAACTTTCTAAAGCTCCATTCAGAAGACCAGAAAAATGATCAAATAAGGATGACTTAACTGCCTTTTCCCACTGAGAGAAGAGTCTGCATAATTAGGCTAAGTGTATAAGCTCTTCAGTGACTTTATTTTTCCAAACATTTATTTTTCAAAGAAATTTCACTCACTCTTTAAGGCTTCCTTAATAAATCATATTAAATGGAGTGAAGTTCGTTCTTCAACAACAAAAATTCTATGTTTCATTTACCCCTGTTACAAGGTTGCATAAGCAAAATTAAGGGTAATTTCCCAACTTTTAAACAACATACATATACCAACTCAGACTTCTATAAAGCACAGAAGGTACATGGCCACTCAGCACCTCAAAGCTTCCCAAAGTTGAGGCTTCCCAAGGCAAGTCAGCCCAATCCTGCCAGGGAGCTCTTCCGCAGAGTCTGAGCAAGGTGCAGAGCAGGCCAGGCAAGGCTTCTCATTAGTACCTAAAGCCTTTCTAGGAGGGAAATCCTCTGCTACTAATATTATACTCCCAAAATAAAAACAGTCTCCATCATCCTCATGGCCTATGAAGGCAACAGACTGATAAATGTCCCAACTGAAAGGTAGCTGAAACTGCAAACAGCTGGAAGTGTTTCCACAAAGGAACAACTTCCAGGACTACCTCCTGGGGCTGTGTGTGTGTGTGTGTGTGTGTGTGTGTGTGTGTGCGTGTGTGTGTGTGTGTGTGTGTGACACACAGTTATTCACATTAATAAAAACATAGTTGCCAGTCTCCCAAACTACAAACATTTCCTTTCCCTAAA